TTAATTGCAATTTAATGGGACTTCCCAGTATTTTATTCTGCTAAGCTACTTTTGCCCTATCCTTGGAGCTCCCCTGCTTTAGTTAGTAAAAAAATAAAATTTCAGCCGAGTATGGTGGCTCACACCTATAATCTTAATACTCTGGGAGGCTGAGGGTGGATTGCTTGAGCTCAGAAATTTGAGACCAGCCTGAGAAAGAGTGAGACCCTGACTCTAACAAAAATAGAAAAAGTAGCCAGGCATCATTGTGGGCACCTGTAGTCCCAGCTACTTGGGAGGCTGAGGCAAGAGGATCACTTGAGCCCAAGAGTTTGAGGTTCAGCTATGATGATGACGATGCCATTGCACTCCACCCAGCGTGACAGAGTGAGACTCTATCTCAAAAAATAAATAAATAAATAAAAAATAAATAAAACTTGCAGTCATTAATTCCCAAATAGAGAGGCTGTCAAGTGTCTTTCTACCTGGGTTCAAAGCCTGATGATCACTTTGAGCTCTTGGCCAAGTTACTTTACTGTGGCACAATCACCCATCAGGGATGAGTCACAGTCCCTCCTCAGTAGTAAAAGCACCTCCTCACCTTACTCCTTGGGGTGTAGATGAGATTGTGCATGTAAGGGTCTGGCACAGTACTCAGCTCATAGAAAATGTTCAATTGCGATTAGTTATTTATTATTGTTGGCAAGAGAACACGGTGAAGAAATCAAATGGCAGAGAAGAAGGTACCTGAGATTTTTTCACTTGCCAAGAATATTCCTTACCTATACATAGATAATTGGGAGCTGTCAGTGGTTATGACTTCATTTATTTGGCATTCATTTCCTCTGACAAAGGAGCAGCACATACAAATAATAAATAACAGATATTAACACGATATATTACAGTGGACAACAGAGACCTTCACGTCTCTTTTAAAGAAAATTTAAGACAGTGAGTCTTAAAGAGAGGTTACTGTGACAACTGACCTATATAGTCCTGGTATACCTCATACCCACCACCATCAACCCCCTCTGAATTCCACTACCCTAAATAGTTTCAAGGATTAAAAAAAAAAAAAAAAAAAGAACTCTGTGATAAAATATTTCCTTGGGAAAGGAAGCAAATTTAGAGTGATCTTTCTGTATGTGCGCAATGTCATACCAGGATTTCTGGTCCCAAATGTGTCTTTTTGTCCAGAGATCCTGCAGAAAACAATCCTCCTTGATGTCATCATCATCAGATACAAAGGGCAACTGGCTTGACACCACTGGCAACAATAGATCTTCAGCAGAATGGCTTTTTTAAAAGCAAAGGCCAAAGAAAGTTTAACCTGTGGCCTCTATTCACCACCGGAAGAGTCTAAATGCTTTCCCCCTTTTGTAATGGAAGAACATCTGCCCTTGCCAAAGAATAATCTCTCTCCAGGCAAGAAGTTTTATATACAGAGAAGCAACGTTCTATTTGGTGTGTGGCTTTCTCCAGTCCTCCATTAGAAAACGTATCCTTTTCAAATGGTTTTACAACCAGAATCTCTCATTTGCCTAAAGGATATCTACCAACCTTATTTCTGGTTCAGGGGTCAATGAGAACTATTGCATATGTAAACAAGAGCACTAGACTTCACTTTAAGGAAAATAAATTCTAGGGTGCTAGAATTTTCTGTGCCCCTTTATGCAAATGCTGAGTTTTTAGTTTTATTGCACACACAGTAAGAGTGCAAGGTAAAGGCGGCACTCAGGATTTAGTGGATTTGATTAAAGTGACAGCCACATCACAAAGTTTCAATCCTAGCAGCACTTCTTTAACGTAGATTATCTGATGTCGTTTTGTAGGGCCACCAGATAAACAAAACTCAAAAAACCCCAAAACAATGTAGCGTCAAATAGATGCAAGTTGGGTCTCACAGAAACGAAGCAGCTGAATAAAGCCAAGACGAGACAAAATAAAAACAAACAAACAAAATAACCAAGATATTTCCAGTGTGCTGCCTCTGGGCAGTTCACTCCCCAGAAGAGAGGAAGTGCTGTATTCAGGAATTTCTTGTGAAAATCTATAGTGTGTCCCAAAAGTTGCCCATAAAGTCACCCTACATGGGGGGGAAAATGGGAAATTGTAGCTAAATGCACCTTTATTTACAAAATTTTTCAAAATATTTATAAAATATTGTCTACATGTTGGTCACCTCTTTGAAAAAAATTTCCCATGTGGGAGTTTCCTACCCTTTATTTTGGAGCCCTAAGTTGTTTGGGGTTTTTTTTGTTTGTTTGTTTTTTGTTTTTAAGACAATGTTTCAATCTCTTGCCTGGGCTAGAGTGCCCTGACAAAAATAACATTAACAAGCAAATAGATTTTTTGACCAGCCTTGACCAGCCTAACTCTGGTAGCAACCTCAAACTCCTGGGGCTTAAACCATACTCCTGCCTCAGTCTCCCCAGTAGCTGGGACTATAGGTGCCTGGCTAATTTCTCTATTTTCTTTTTTTTTTTGGAGACAGAGCCTCAAGCTGTCCCCCTGGGTAGAGTGCTGTAGCATCACAGCTCACAGCAACCTCCAACTCCAGGGCTCAAGCTAGTCTCCTGCCTCCACCTCCCAAGTAGCTGGGATTACAGGCGCCCTCCACAACATCCGGCTATTTTTTGGTTGCAGCCGTCATTGTTGTTTGGCAGGCCCAGGCTGGGTTTGAACCCGCCAGCTCAGGTGTACATGGCTGGCGCCTTAGCCGCTTGAGCCACAGGCACCGAGCCAATTTCTCTGTTTTAAATAGAGACAGAGTCTCCCTCTTGCTCTTGTTCTCTTGCTCAGGCTGGCTTCCAACTCCTGAGCTTAAGGAATCCGCCTGCCTAGGCCTCCCAGAGTGCTGGGATCATAGGCTGAGCCACCACACCCAGCCTGGAGCACCACTCTTAAATCTACATAAAATGATTGTCTTTCTAGCTTGCCTTGTCCAGACAATATTAAAATGCTAGTTGAGTTCTGGCCATCATACTGGCTTTTTACTATTAATAGCACATATTGAAAATCTCTTTGAGAAGGGAAGACTAGATAGACGAGATAGACTAGACTAGATAGACTAGAAGACTAGAAGACTAGCTAGCATTAAGCATGAAATGTGACATCTACGTGGTGGTGGGGAGCCAGGACAGTAGAGAATGGACAGCTAGCATTTTATGTGGATAGGCTTTCAGATGGGGAAGATGAAAACGTTCTGGAGGAGGCTGGATAGTGGTGATGGTTGCAGAATGGTATGAATGTACCAGTGCCATAGAACTGTACACTTAAAAGTGGTTCAGATGGCAAATTTTGTGATATATGTATTTTACCATATTAAAATAACATTAACAAGCAAATAAAATGATTAGATTTTTTTAAAAAGCTAGATGTGAGGAGAAAATAGAAATAAGAGAAAGAAGGAAAAGAAATAGAAAGAAGGTGGCATCTCAAGGCATACTCAAGGAGTAGATGCCGGCCCCATATATCAGGGGTGGCGGGTTCAAGCCCGGCCCTAGCAAACTGCAAAAAAAAAAAAAAAAAATTAATAATAATAAATAAAAAGAAGAGAGATTGATGAAATACCATCATCCCACTTCCTCCAGCCCCTCGGAGGGCAGTGGTGGAGGATGGGGAGAGGGCAGTGATCTCAAAGGAGACAGGTGAGCTGAGACGCTCTTCCCACCACAGCCTTGAAGAAGGTCCTTCACTCAGAAAACATTCACTGCGTACTGGCAATGAGAGGGTACTCTTGATTCAAAAAGTAAACAAAGACCAGGGGCTGTGGCTCATGCCCGTAATCCCCTAGCATTCTGGGAGGCCCAGACCGGTAGATCGCTTGAGCTCAGGAGTTGGAGAACCCATCTCTAAAAAATAGCTGGGCAATGTGGCGGGCACCTGTAGTCCCAGCTAGTTGGGAGGCTAAGGCAAGAGGATTGCTTGAACCCAAGAGCTTGAGGTTGCTGTGAGCTATGAGACCACTTTGGCACTCTATCCTGGCAGTAAAGTGAGATCCCGTTTCAAAAAAAAAAGATAAACATAACTATAGGCAAATGAACTTTGAGCAGTGGCTAGTTATTACCTAGATGAGGTAGGTGACGTTTTGACCACTCAGGCTACTATCCTATCTGTCATTTAATCTCACCATGGTAAGATCTGCTTGCTCTCGCTAACATTTGTAAAGAAAGATAACATAAATTCAACCTTCACACCACAAAAGATAGCTTGAATACATTCCTCTCATCCCGTATGTCCTTTTGTGCGACATTTACTAATGAATCCCAGAGTAAAATTCGCCAGTTATATCTCAGTATAAAAAGGGACCTTACTTTTTGTTTTTCAAAGAAAAATTCAGAAATGGCATATATTTAAATCCTAATCATTCAGGCCAAAATGTGAAAAAGCCCCCTCACCTCCCACTTTTGTTAATAAACACATGAGCAGAATTCCAAGAGAGGAGGGTCATTCCTTTAGGTCTAATCCAGTAATAGGTAGGAAGTGGTCGATTCATTGGTAATTTTTGTTAGAGATTCCTTAAGCTAGGCAATAATTACAAATTCATGCATCTAATTTGAACAATGGTGATTAAATAGATTTCCAGATGACTCAGTTTATAAACCTTTAGCCATTAGCTTTCCAGCTGGAGTGGGCGATGTGCTGCTGCCTTCCTGCTGACATTACTGAAAATCTGAGTCAAGATCAAAGTTACTTCACGCCACTCTGACCTTCCTTCACAATGCACAGTTCAGAATTTTCCAATGGGTTTCCCTGTGCCTGTGGAGGTTACCACTTGCAAACAGCTTATGCATAGATATTCCCTGGAGACCCTACCACGGACCCATTGGAAATTACATCTCAAAATCTGGCCTTCAAGCAGTTTCCTAATCCAGAATTTCCTAAATCTCAGAAGATCTTATTGTCTGGGTGAAACACCCAAGACTTCAGAGAATAGGGCGGGACCCAGCTGGGTAGACTGGCAGTGCCCATTTTGCCCCCAGAAATGCACCTCGGGAATCAGCCCAAGGAGCCCTTACCTTGACAGTCATGTCTGGGGTGGACGTTCCTGTGGCATTCGAGGCTGACTCCTCTCTCTTTAACTGTGCACTCTCCCACCCGAGTCCTGGAAAAAAAAAAGTGCCATTTGAACCAAGTGATTCGGCTGACATAATAGACACACAGCTGTCATTTCTTTGCTTTATTTTTCATAGTTTTTAAGAGATAGGGTCTCACTGACAGGTATGATCATAGTTCACAGGCCTGAACTCCTGGGCTCAAGTGATCCTCAGAAGTCTCTGGTATAGGTGGGACCACAGGCACATGCCACCACACCCAGATAATTGTTCGATTTTTTATGTTTTGTGGAGATAAGATCTTGCTATGCCGCCTAGCTGGTCTCAAATTCCTGGCCTCAGGCAATCCTTCTGCCCCAGCCTCTGCAAGTGCTGGGATTACAGGTGTGAGCCACCTCACCTGGCTACATAGCTGTCATTTCTCAGATTCCACTCACTTGTGACTTGTGAAGGGAAACTACTGAGGATGACCCACAGTCCCTTACCTCCTGGCAGTTAGAGGGCCAGGAAAGCTGCCTTTGTGTGATCAGATAGCACCTCTTTTGTTTTTTACCTAATCTCCCACTTTAGAGTCCATTGTCTAACTCTGGGTGTCTTGTGGAGAATTCTATTTCTAGCCCGGGGGGGAGAGGAGTTTGCAACAGAAACAGGCAGGTAGGCGCCCTGGCTGAGGCCTGTAATCCTAGCAGTCTGGGAGGCTGAGGTGGGTGGATTGTCTGCACTCACAAGTTCCAGACCAGCCTGAGACAGAGTGAGACCTCATCTCTAAAAATAGCCAGGTGTTGTGGTGGGCACCAGTAGTCCCAGCTACTCTGGAGGCTGAGGCAAAAGAATTGCTTGAGCCCAAGAGTTTGAGGTTGCTGTGAGCTGTGACGTTACAGCACTCTACTGAGGGCTTAAAACTGAGACTCTGTCTCAAAAAAGAAAAGAAAAAAGAAACAAGCATGACCTCAAAGCCTAAAATATTTATGCATGGTAAACAGTATTTGCCAATCATGATTTAACATAATAGCAGGCAGTTGGAGTTTTAGAATTTGGGCCTCATACTGATGTTTCATTTGGGACTTAAAGTCAATCCCAGTATGCAGAAATACACACAATACCAGCTAGAAATGACTCCAGATTTTTCCCGGTTCTCAGGTGCATATACCTCCTGGAAATCACTGAAAGTTTATTGTTACTTTTAAAGGGACATGTCCTCTGTCTAAGTCTTGAGAAATTCAAGTGTCCCTTTCTTCCAAAGTTGCCATATTATGTCCAAGAGTGGACATCTGGCAAGATACAAAATTTTGTTCTAACTTCAAAGAGATCAGGAACTGGTGTTCTGAAATATCTTTGAACCGAATATAGTAAAACTACACTGATTCAGATGCAATTATATGTGTGAATAGAGCTGGATTTGTCTACATAAAGTGAAAAGTTTGAAATAACATCAAATATATTTTTTAAAACATGGGAGGTAAGTTTATTGCAAGAAAAATCATCTTAAAGGCTAATAAAGTATTAATAGTACTTGGTAGAGTTTCTTAGAGTCTACGCTGTGTAGCAAGTACACATTTTATAATTTGTATAATAACTTGCCAGTTTGAAAATGAGTGATCATAAAGTATTGAAAAGATTATTTTCTTAGGTAGGTTAAAATTATCTGTATACTATTTGCTTATATTATTGATTTCCTTAACAAATAATTTTTTTAAAAAATAATTCAAAGACAATATTCATCCCACACCTGTGCAAATAATCCAAATCCCAAAATTCCAACTATCTAGCATTATGTTAAATCGGGATGAGCAAACGCTTTCTGTTTGCTACAGAGTGAAGGTTTCAGGCTTTGGGGTCATGCCATCTCCCTTGTAACTCCTCTATCTGTCCTTGTAGAGTGAAGGTATATCAACGGTATATCAACAAATGGGCATGGGTGGGTCCCAATAAAATTTTATTTACAAAAACAAGCAGTGGGCTGGATTAGTCCCATGAGAGATACTTTCCTAGCCTCTGTGCTAAATCTAGAAACCAGAGATGGGCTGGGTGTGGTGGTTCAGGCCTGTAATCCTCACACTCTGGGAGGCTGAGGCAGGTGGATGGCTGGAGCTCATGGAGTTCAAGACTTAAGCAAGAGAATTGCTTGAGCCTAAGAGTCGGAGATTACTGTGAACAATGATGCCACGACACTCTACCCAGGATGACAGCTTGAGACTGTGTCTCAAAAAAAAAAAAAAGAAAGAAAGAAACCAGAGATGTATAAGTTTGTTAAAAGTCAAACTTTCTAGTAAGAATCAACTGAAAAACCGGGTGGTGAATTACTAATAATTGTTTGAAATTACATGATACTTTAAGATAATATGAAATTATTTAAATTCTAATATACTAACATTGGTTACAGTTCCTTCTTTTACGTTATGGATCCTTAAGAGCCTTATTTTATAAAATACATGCACAATGGATTATACTCAAGATCTGTGCGTTATAATTCACTGCAAGGTACAAATAGTTGCCAGCTCTGGCTAGGTTGCAGAAATTGGGTCAGAGGACTTTGGTGACTTGACCTACACTTTCTTCTCATGAAACTGCTGTACAGCGGCTGTCGGCCTTGCTTAAATGCATATTTCTGGAAGAAAAAAATCTCTGCTCCTACATGAATAGATTATTTCCTTGACATTCCTTGCATTTAACAGATTTACAAGCCCTTCTGGTTTAAGCCACTGTTGGTGTCTGTTGGGTCCGGCTGGCAGGACATGAGGGACAATTATATGAAATTTAGTTTGCATAATGGTTTGAATTACTGTTTTGGCAAATATTCATCCCCCTCCTCTCCCACTGTGGGAGACATTTTCTTCCCCACCCCACTGATGTTTGCTTAAGCTGATAATATAAGCAAAGATTTGCAATGGGCTTGTGTGAGCCTTGCCCTCTTGCACTTCTGCTACAGCATGAGAAGAACATGCCCAGTTAACCTGCAAGGGAGTGAGAATCATAGGGAGTAGACCAGGACCCAATCTTTGCCTTGAAGCCAAGTTAAGTCTAGATCAGCCAACCCCCAGCCAACTGCATATGCAGGACAACAACATTTGGGATAGTTTGTCAAGCAGTTATTACTGTAACAATAGCTTGTAGGTATAATCTAAAACCAAGATTAAAATTATAAATGAAAATTATTTTGAATCATGCATTTTAAATATTTTTATTTAAAGAGATGAGGATCTTGCTACATTGTCCAGGCTGACCTCAAACTCCTTGGCTCAAGCTATCCTCTTACCTCAGCCTCCTGAGTAGCAGGGACCATGGCTATATGCCCACCATGCCTGGCTTAAGTAATTTTACCATTAACAATACAAATGTAACTCTTTGTTGTATAAAAATTTTACTTACAAATATCGATTTTCATCTATATATGTTATTCCACTTTGGTAAGGATTTTTTTCTCTGCTACAATCATTCCTTTTGTAGGCAGTACTATATTAGAGGTAACATGTCAATAAGAAAAAGATGTGGGACATAAATATCTACATATTCTCAACACTTTAGCTAGCTATCAAGAAAACACTTCAACGGGCAGCACTTATAGCTCAGTGGGTAGGGTGCCGGCCATATACACTGGGGCTGGTGGGTTTGAACCTGGCCCGGGCCTATTAAAATAACAATGACAGCTTCAACAAAAAAATAGCTAGGCATTGTGGCAGGTGCCTGTAGTCCCAGGTACTTGGGAGGGTAAGGCAAGAGAATCGCTTAAGCCCAGGCATTTGAGGTTGCTGTGAACTGTGATGTCACAGCACTATACTGAGGGCAACATAGTGAGACTCTGTCTAAAAAAATAAATAAATAAAAATAACTTATTTATTGTGCTGCGTCATGACGCAATTCTTTCCTCACTCTTGTATCTACAGTGGGGATGTGCTCTACACCATTGTCTTGGGCTGGTATTATCTAGTGGGAACAGAACCAGGGCCCACATTTGGACCTTGGGGTAGAGAGAAGAGAGTGGCCATGTGCCCCTGGCAGTTCCTTACAAATGTGGAAACTGAGAAGGACCTGATGCTAGTAGGGCTCCAGGCTGATTTTATTTCAATACCAAAGGTCAGGAGCCACTGTCATCTTGAGGACTAAGAAATGAAAGAGGAACACTTCTTTGTAGGAGGATGCTTATGCATTTCAAAATACCACTTCCCTTTTTGAAAATGGTGATTTCCATTCCCCCAACTTGAAAATGCATTCTGTTACCAGTGGGTAAGAGTGAGAAGGGACACTAAGAAAGGGGCTTCAAGCGGGTGGGAGGAAAACCTGGCCTGCTGAACCAAAAAGTCTAGAGGGCCCATAAGGATGTAGGTTTGAAGTAACCTAGGTAACCAATGACCAATAGAAAGAGACAATCAATGACCAGTAGAAAAGGGCAATACTGCCTGGAAGCACAGAGAGGCCAATGAAAGACATGTGGCCAATTTCGCTGGAGAGAGTATTTATACCCTGCAGGCCTTTCATCTCTGTCTCTTTCACCTTCTTTTCTTCATGAGAGGGACCCACTTCTGACTCTGTTTGAAAGTGCTCTAAACTTTCTCTTTGTTCTTCTTAAATAAAATTCCTCTCTGTTCCACTGAAACTTGTGCAGGTCACTTTTGCTCTCTATTCACACTGCCGGTGCTGCTCCAGTTTTATTTTCTATTTTCATTCATTTTTGCTTTCAATTACCGCTGTGCCTTGGTTGAACTTTCTAGCTCAGTTGAGTAATTGAATCAGGTCAGTGGAGTTCAGGGAACTGTGACCCCCAACCCACAGCAAGAAGGATAGCTTAGCATGCTGGTTTGCAACCCCCTCAGCTCTAGAATTTCATCGATGAATTTTTTTTTTTTTTTGAGACAGAGTCTTACTTTGATGCCCTTGGTAGAGTGCCATAGCTCATAGCAACCTCAAACTCTTGCGCTCTAGTGATCCTCCTGCCTCAGCCTCCAAGGGGTTGGGACTACAGGCACCTGCCACAACGCCCAGCTATCACCAATGATTTTCGATAACTGTTTTTCCACATATTTTACTTTCAAACAACTATTTTCCCCTTCCT